GAACTTTCAGGCTCTCGCACATCAGTGAGTGTGATATACTAATTGGGAGAGGATGGTTTCCTTCCCCAATTAATCTTCTTAAATGAGATGCCATTTGTTGTTCTTGAGGGCATGTTCCCCTTGCTAAGCCTCACTATATATATATATATGAAACTTATCGCTTGCCACTTCTCTATAACCTCCTTGTACATCTCTTCTATTTTCATATATATATATATATATGAAACTTATCGCTTGCCACTTCTCTATAACCTCCTTGTACATCTCTTCTATTTTCATATGGAATTGGGAAGGAATTAGGGTAAGGGCTTTAAGGTCATACAAAAAGGCTTATGGTTTCTCAACTCTTTTAAAGTCTTCAAGTGTTTGATTTTCACAAATTCTGCATAACCCAAGAAGATATATTGTATTGACTTAATCGCTATTCTTTTGGTACATGAACGAATGATTTGCAACCAAACATCCTCAAGTTTTCATATGAGACATCTTTATGGGTTGACATTATTTCTAAATAATTTCCCTTCAAAGGAGTTGAAGGGGATAAATTAATCAAATAGCATGAAGTGCTCCTACACTAACCACAAAAAAATCTTGACAATTTAACAAGTGAGAATATACATTTGATTCTTTCTACAAATAGTGTGATTCATCCTTTCTGTTATATCATTGTGCTGAGAGGTGTCAGAAGTAGTTTTATGATATCTAATTCCATACCTTTTACAATATTTCATGCATATCTTCTATGTATATTCCCCATCATTATCTGTGTGAATACACTTCAAAGGTTTTCATATTTCCCTTATAATTTTAGCATAAAAGTTTTCAAAAATCTAAAAGATTTCGTCTTTGGTTTTCATAGCATATGCTCACACTTTTCTACGAACACCATCAATGAAGGTAATGAAACAAGAGGCGCCACCAAAAGTTTTAACTTTCATTGAACCACATGCATAAGAATAAACCAGTTCCAAAATATTTGTTTTTTTAAGACTTATGTTTAAGTGAAACTCTGAGTTGTTTGAATGAGAACAATGATCTAAGAGCATACCTTTTAAGCTGGGGAGAAATCATTTCTTTGCTAGAACTTGTAGCCACTTATTACTCATGTGACCAAGCCGCAAATATAGGTCGGTTGATGAATTTTTCTCAATAATGTTCACTTCATCCATACCCAATTGCCTTTGTGTCTTATGAAAGTTCAACATCTCTGTCATGTTACTAAGACCCTTTCGTAAACTTCCAATGCCCACTTCCAAAGCAATTATTGTAGCCCTTTTTATCTAATTTGCCATTAGAAATCAAGTTAAGGCATAGGTCCAAAACATACCTTACGTCCTTTAGAACCAATTTGCAGCCAAAATTGGAATGTATGCAAATACTACCTATTCCCACAACTTTTGAGGTGTTGTTATTTCTCATCCTTACGATACCAAAGCCTCATGATTTGCAAGATGTAGTAGCATGGTAGGAAGCACCCGTATCAATAACTCAGTTTGTATCTAAATATGCAACACCTAGGCAATCCTTTTCACAAGCTCAAAAAGTAATAATATCAACATCAACAGTAACCACATGGGTATTCTTGTTTTCTTGTTTTCTTTACATTTTCCTTCCTGTTTCACTTTGTTAACCTTTCGACAAACCCTTTTTATGGGTCCTGACTTGCCACAATAGTAGCAATTTATTCCTTTTTTTAGATTTGGACCTACCTCTTGATCTTTAACAATTGTGAAGTTTCCTACTTGTACTTCTTTTATTGTACTTCTTTTATTTTCTGTAACAAGAGTGACAATTGAGAGGAATTCAAGGGTTTTCTTCTCGTTTCCTCATCCAATAAAATGCTTGCAATTTGACTCACTGTTACTTTTTATCTAGTGCAGTTGCCTAGAGACACCACCAATGTCTCCCAATTACTATTCATCCAACACCATCTTCATGGTAGATAGTTGATTCACTATACTTTGCATCTCATTTAAATGCTCTATAATCAATGCACCTTCTTTCAATTTGACTCACTGTTACTTTTTATCTAGTGCAGTTGCCTAGAGACACCACCAATGTCTCCCAATTACTATTCATCCAACACCATCTTCATGGTAGATAGTTGATTCACTATACTTTGCATCTCATTTAAATGCTCTATAATCAATGCACCTTCTTTCAACTTCAAATTAACTAGCTTTAAGCTCAAGAAAGCTTTGTTGTCGGCTGTCTTTCTTTTATAGAATCCTTCCAACTTCTTCCATAGAGAATGTGCTGAAGTTTCATTCTACACTTGGTGAAACACAATATCATCGAACCAATGTCGGATATACCCATTGGCGTTATGATTTAGCTTCCACTTGTAACTCATCTTTTTACGTTTAGCTTCGTCACCCTTAATGGGATAATATAAATCATAGCAATAGAAACCAACCTTCATTTCAGGCATCCAAATTAACCAATTATTTTCATTCAGGTTATCATTCTACTTGTATTTGCTTCTATGATTCAAACATAATTTTTTTCATTTATTTTTTTTTTTAAACAAAAAGAAAGTACAAAACCCGGGATTTGATACAACTTGTTGAGAAGCTGTGCATTCCCTTCTATGTGTGAATCAATACCAAATCTCAAAGAAATAAAATTACACAAATTTACAGGAAATTAAAAACCAACCAAACACCAAAATTTATGTGAAAAACCCTTCAAAAGAAGAAAAAACACTGGGTGCCATAGATGAAATCTACTATGCAAAAATAATAATAACAATAATTTTTCCCAAGTTAATTAATTGTAACTTGAGGATTTGGGAACAAGAAAACCGAACCTTTTGAAAGAAAAATCCTCTATAATTTTTCTATATATCAAAAAACCTAAAGAGAAAAAAAAATGGCTTCAACCACTCTCTATAATTTGTTACTCAACTCTCTCTACAAAAAATAAGAAAGACTTCTTTTTCTAAGAAACCCTAACATTTAAAATTGTCATCGAAAGGATTCAATATTGGGTTGTTGTTACGCAGTTGTCACGACCCTAACCATCAAGCCAAGTCGCAAGTTGTGGCCCTCTCACAAATGGGAGGGAATATCCTCAACAAACCCTGCTTAAAACCTTAGGACTTTTTCTAGGTATCTTCTCAATTTTCTTATTATAACATTGGATTAGTATTTATTAAAGGGAGAAGTTTATATAGAGCCGAGGCTCTAAACAATCAAATTAGAGCCTACCTCAAAATTTTCACTAGAAGAGGCTGTTTTGATGCCCAAATATCATCAAATTGATCATCTCGACCTCAAGATGCAGGGACATGAGAAAAAAATAGATTTCAAGTTTTGAAAATAATGCATCTTGTAATGCATTTTTGGATCGTCAATTTTCAATATTTCACGTTTTCATAGATCTACTAGATCTACATTATTGTTGAAGCTTTAAAATTTATAATTAGTGATAAAAATCTATTTTAAGTCTATCAAAAATATTTCTGATATTGAAACCATATTTCTTGACACTATTTGAAGGTGTGCTTTACTTTGATTGTTTAGAACCTCGGCTCTATACAAATCACACCCTTTATTAAATGGGCCCTCATTTTTTTTTCCTAACCATACCGAAAGGGATTGCATACTATAAGATTGTTTGTCTTGGTACATGAAAGTCCCAATCTCTCCTAGCGTTTGATATGAAATCAGGTTATTATGGGTATGTTGGAGAAAATTTGTCTTGAAATTTAACTGCAATCACTAGTACTACCCTAACTGTCTAATTTGACATCTGACAACTAAAAATAATTATAACATTTTTGTAGTAAAAATTAATAGTCTTACTGTATAATTTACTAGTCACAATGCCATTTCAATCACTAGTATTATCCTAACTGCGTAATTTGACATCTGACGACGAAAAATTATTGTGTTCTTCTTATACCAAATAGTAATAGTCTTACAATATATAGTTGAGTGACTATGCCAATATGCTATAGATGTACCCTCCTTTCCTATAACACCATTTCTCATTCGACTTTATATTAATGAATAGTTATAGTACAAGTTAATACCACGCGAGCATTGGACTAGGAAATTTTTGTTGGATTTAGGATAAGTAAGCCACATAATCAATATGCAAGTTGAAAGCAACAAAGAGAGGCAATGGTTTTTAAATTTTTAATTTAGGGCTGAGGTTGTAATGGTCACTTTCTCTTGTTCTATTTTGTTGAATGGGCATGTGCCTTCCCTGTATATAGTTCCACGCGATTACATGCACACATAGGAGCATATTGTCCCTTTAGTCCCTCGTGTAAAACCTTATCTAGGACAATTTTAGGTCTGAAAGTTCAGGGATGTAACCACTTCAATCTAGCACGCCTAACTCAAAAATAAATATATAAATAAAACACATGCATTCTTTATGAGCCTAAAAAGAATAAAGATCTAATATGCAACATAAATAGGACACCCAAATCTTTATTTTAAGGGATTGTCTAAAAAGATATCATTTTTTTTTTTACAATGAGATTCCAATCATTCTTGTCCTCTAAATTTCAAAATGGGTAGATTTAAGAGTGTCATTTAATAGACACAAAGTTCTGGAAAAAAAAATTCCCAAGACAGACTTTATGACATCTAATGAGTATGAATAAGTTTGATATTCTTGTAGTTTGATATTTCTGTACAAAAGATAAATGGTTTCTTTGTAGACAATCTCATATTTTAAAAACTGAAAATCTAAATTTATTTTCTCCGATAAATATGGGGATTCTGAAGTAAATCCATAAAATTTAGAATGAAATAAATCCTTCTAACCTGCTCTTTTACTCAAGGGAGTAAGTATAGAAATTTTTCCTGCAGGAGCATGATCGTTGGATACGTGATCACAAAGTTATAGGCCGTTAAGCACGCAAAACCCACCAATGGAATCTTTGTACATGACGCAGTTAATCCCCTTCCCAAGTACCAACTTCCTTTCTTCCACCATGAAAGGCCCTATAAAACCTCAAACCCATGCAACCCTCATGAACCACCATGGCCGAGTCCTTGGCTCATGTCACCGAGCCCAACATCGACCTTGTCGAGACCCATCCGAGCCCGAAGGGTGCGGAAACCAGCCAGGTTTGTACACATGCAAGCCAAGGGAATACACCAAGGATTGCATCCGATGTTCGAGTCGACAAGACTCTAGCTAGTGCCGCGAACCTCATGAAGCTCTTGCCTACTGGAACCGTGCTCACTTTCCAAGCCCTGTCGCCATCTTTCACCAATCGTGGCATGTGTTATCCTGCGAACAAGTACTTAACCGGTGCTCTGGTGGTTCTCTCCTCGCTGTCATGTTTCCTGTTCTCCTTCACCGATAGTTTTAAGGGACGAGACGGTAAGGTCTACTATGGCATCGCAACGTTTAAGGGCATGGCCTTGTTCAATGACAACGAGAGGGATCAAGGGAGAGTGATCGAGAGGCTATCGGTCTACAGGTTGCGACGGATCGATGTGGTTCATGCATGTTTGTCAGTGATCGTGTTCTTGACACTGTCTCTTGGTGACTCTAACGTGCAACACTGCTTCTTCCCCGATGCTGGGTCTAACAGCCGGGCTCTGATTGTGAACCTACCATTAGGTGCTGGGATTGTGTCAAGTGTTGTGTTCCACCTCTTCCCGACCTCGCGCCGAGGGATCGGATACACTGACCCCTCCGCCTAGCTTCGACCTCCCTCGTATGGTTTCTTGGCCTTGGGGTAGTTTGACATCCATGCTTCATGTTTGTTGGATGGTAAGATAAGCTCAATGAAATGGGACTCTTTCAAAGGTTGCTATTATGGGCAACTTAATTTATCTTTTGGTGATATAACATAAGCTCCCACAAATACTTCTAAACTTTTCCCTGCATTTTGTTCTAAAAAATGAAAAAGTTCATACAAGCTGTCGACCTTATATTTAAAAAGCCCGCAAATAAAAGGTGATTTTGATATGGGTGCGGTTTGTATAGAACGTAGACTCCAAACAATCAAATTAGACCCTACAAATAGCGTTGAGAAATATGGGTTCAATACTAAAAATCATTTTGATAGCCTTAAAATATGTTTTTACTTTTATTTATAAACTTTAAAGCTGCAAAAATAAACTTTGAAAAGTAATAGTCTAAAAATGCGCAAAGAAGTACACTATTTTCAAAGCTTGAAATCCATTTTTTTCTAATGCATTTGCATCTTGATGTCTAGATGATCAATTTCAGGATATTTGGGTATCAAAAAAACCTCTTCTAATGAAGTTTTTTAGGTAGGATCTAATTTGATTGTTTAGAGCCTCAGCTCTATATAAACTTTTCCCTTTTGGATATTGAAAAGGACACCTTTTCTATGTGGCCAGCCCTTAGAAATGCGGGCCTGGCTATAAACGTATTTTTTAAATATAATTTGATCTTAATTTTTAGAGAATACATAGTCTTTAACATGCAAATCATGGATATGAAAAAAAAAAAATTAAATTAAATTAAAAACGAAAAATAATAATTATATTAAAAAACAATTTTCCTATTGAAAAGCCCCCCAGTAGATCAACTCTACCTCAATATGTAGGGATATGAAATACGAAAAGATTTTAAGTTCGAAATATAAGAAGTTGTCTACACCATTAATTTCAAGATTTTCAATTGTTTATAAAACTCAATATGCAGTGGTTTTTATGCTTTAAGTTCTATAACCAGCGGCACAAACACATTTTCAAGCCATAATAAAAGTTTCAAAACACAAACTGTATCTCAAACGTGCCCCTTACGGTGGACGCGCTATATATAAACCTCACCCTTTTCTACCGCGAAACACATTCGAGGCCGGGTTAGTTCCTCGGACCTTATGCAAAATCCTAATATCTCTCTCTCTCTCTCTTCAATCTCTCATGCGTGCCTCATTGGCTATGTCCAAGTTGACATTTTAAAAGCTAATTTGACTTGATGTAACTCTTTAAATCTTTGTGAGCTGGTTAACCTTAAGCTTGAAGTGATGAGCTTTACAACTTTTTTGCTTAATAACCTCAAAAGTCAGCAATAACAATAGAATTGACCTGGCTCACCTTTGAATCTGAGGTTTGAGATCTTTGTAAGCCATAGCCAAACACGACTGATTAACACAATATTTGACACCCTCTTGGGCTTTCTTCGCAAATGAGAAAATCCAACCAAGAAATGCATCGAAGCTTAGTCACATGTTTGATTGGTGGAAGAAGTGGCTGCCAAACTAGCCTCTCCCACCGACGCGAGGAGCCATGGCCTTCTCAAATCAGTGTCTTGTTTTAGAAGCCATTGGAAGCAGTAGCTTCCAAAATATTGTTGTACTTCCCACGCGACAAACGTGGGAATTGTTATTACCTTGGAAGCGGAAACTTCCATTAAAACACACACTAACCGTTATTAAAACAAGAATTTAAATAGGTTGAAGGTAAAAATCTTAAACCCTAAAAATTTCCGAGACACTTAATGGTTCAGATATAGGAATTGTGAGATTGAGAACTGACCCATGACCCAAACCTGAATCGTTAAGGTTAGACCGAATCCCAGGCATCTAGGACCAGATCTATTGGACCCAGACCTGACCTATTGCGTCCATGCTTAGGATCCAAACCTAGATCCCGGGGTCAAGTCGACCTTGCAAGTTCACTAAGTCAACCCTAAGCTAATTAGCCGCCCCATCTCAAAGATCATATTTTACAAAAACAATATTTTGTTCTATTTTACAAAATATCGCCTTATTTGGTTAGATAATGTTTGATTACTCAGGCTCGTCACCCTGGCAAGCCCAAATATCCCTTAGTTGGGTACCCAAATATCTCTTAGTAATATGGTTTTGTATGTTTTCTATTATTTTGACAAAGATGGGAAGTGTTTTAGACATAAATACTTATTTTTTTCATTTTTCCAATATGGCTTATTAAGGTGATTAAGATGTGTTTTGTTTTATTTTACTTTAAAGTTACTTTTCTTTTTCTTTTTTGAAGTTTTAGTATTCTACATTTTATGCCTTGCCCATACTCGGGCAAAAGCTTCTCGGACATTAGTCCGAGTACTCTGATCTGGCCTGGGAGGAGCACCCGGCCCGAGTTGCTCTCTCCAACACTCTGGTTGGCAAAGTTGGTCCATGAAGCTTCTTCAAACCATATACTAAAAATAAATAAAAACATTTCCAATATTTTATACAATGAGATGCTTAGGGATGTTTGACAACTCATTAGATTCTCTTTTTATTAGTACTTTTCTTAGTACTGTTTTACAGGTCAAAAAATCCAAGACGGAAAGTACCAACTTTTTCTTGATTCCAATAAGAAAGTACCAAATTACAGTATATATTTTATACTCTACATGGTGTGGTTTTTATAAGGTCGCAACCTTAAACAATCAAATTAAGGTGCACTTCCAAATTTTTACATATAATTTTGGTGTAAAAAATTATTAAGATTATCTAAAAATCTATTTTCATATCTAATTACAAAATTTTAAGCTTCAAAAATTTTATAGAATCAAGTAGATCTTTAATCATATGAAAATGTTGAAAATAGACGGTCTAGATAATGTGTTGTAAGATGCATTATTTCCAGAACTTAAAATCTTTTCTTTTGTAATATTCATACATCTATATGTCAAGATCAACTAGAGGTTTCAACATTAAAACAACCTTCTCCGATGGAATTTTGACGTGCATCCATATTTCTACATTTTAAGGTTGCAACCTTATATAAACTTTTTCCTACTCTAAAACAACCCATCTTGGAAAAATAAAGTGGACAAAATATCTACAATAAATAATAAAAAAATTTATTTATGATATGATCAACTAGAGGTTTCAACATTAAAACAACCTTTTCCGATGGAATTTTGACGTGCATCCGTATTTCTACGTTTTAAGGTTGCAACCTTATATAAACTTTTTCCTACTCTAAAACACCCTTGGAAAAAAAAAAAAAGTGAACAAAATATCTACTATAAATAACAAAAAAAAGCATCCCTTGGAGGGACGAACAGGGATACTAGGCGATGGCTCCGGACTGGTTCAATCATCTCCACTTCAACAACTATGGATCTAAAAGAAAGAACAAAAATTGCAAATATTGTATCCATGGATCCATAATTGAACCAGCTAGTGACATGTTTCTTGACCCTCCATTTAAATATTCAGCGATCCACTGTGGACTCCGATTTGCAGGCTACTTTTTCCATTGGGGTTAAGTTGTTGACATAACCAAATTTCGTGAAGCCCCAGCCTTCACCCTTCTATTTATTCTACAAGGTACCTTTATGATTGCATTTATCCGGACAAGCAAACCATTGCAAAACCACTGCTTCATCCGCTTTCCAAGAGAAGGTATATTCAACATCCAAACCAATGTTTCCCACTAGTAATTAATGCATTTTGTAGAGCCACCGAACATCAGTTTTCCCACTAGCGGTTAATGGATTTTGCATAGAAAACTAACATCCAAGTAATTTTCACTAAAGCAATTGATTCAATAAAGCAGTTTTATTTCAAGCCTTATTGAATATTTACTTCAATTTGATTGGATAATGTTAGTTGGGAAAAAACTTTAATAATGATGATGATTGGATAAATCAAAATTCCATGGATCAAACACGTTCACTCTTAGGCACAATCATTGGCACAGGGAGGTCTATCACATGTTAAAACAGCAGCTTAAGCGTATGTCAAGGTGTTTAAAAAATTCTCAATTGAACTTCTAATTAATACTATAATCATAACCACCGAATTTCAAATTCAACAGCTAAAAATGAATGTGACCTCCTTATATTAAAAATAAATGATTATTATATACTTATTCCTTTATTGAACACAACCCACAACTAGGGTCCCCACAACTTTCACACTGAAAATTGACCCACACAATCAAACCATGCAGGTAGAGAAATTCAAATGGGTCAATGTATCTAGAAACTCTAATATGTACGTGTCCAGGAGACTAAATAGAAGGGATTCAGCCAACAATATTTTCACACATGTATTACTTGTATTCGTACTTAGATATATCAATAGTAAGGTTGTATAATTTCAATATCAATAGTAAGGGTGTATAATTACAAAAAATGAGATAAAATCATCAAAAAATAAAATAAAACTATCAAAAAATAAAATAAAATAAAATAAAAGAGTGTAAATAAAACGGACACGAGCACAGACAATATTAGCCACTGATAACAACCATATTAACTCTTGTTTCTCAGGAGTAAAAGAACCAGCTTACTGATACAAAAACCCAAAACCAGTCAACCAATTTTAAGGACGAGATAATAGAGATAAAGAGCAAAACTTCAGCCGAGTTACAAAAATCATCGAGAAGCTGACAATCATCAGTCACGAATGGAGTCTTATGAGCTACGCTTCGATACAAAACTCAACTTCAATATAGAATTCTAAATCAAAGACATGTCCTAAAATTAAATCATCTAGAAGCTGACAATCATCGGAGTCACGAATGGAGTCTTACGAGCTAGTAGGCTTCTATGCAAAACTCAACTTAAATAGAGAATTCGCTTCGATACAAAACTCAACTTAGATAGAGAATTCGCTTTAATACAAAACTCAACTTAAATAGAGAATTCTAACAAATCAAAGACATGTCCTAAAATTAAATAGCATACCCTTTCGTCAAAGGTCTAAGGCCCAACACACCTCACTTGAAGCACTTGGCATCCAAAAATCATCAAGAAGCTGACAATCAGTCGTGAATGGAGTCTTATGAGCTAGGCTTCGGTACATATCATGACAAAACTCAAATAGAGAATCCTAAGAAATCAAAGACATGTCCTAAAATTAAATAGCATACCTTTTCGTCAAAGGTCTATATGGGCCAACACACCTCACTTGAAGCACTTGGCATCCAAAAGTGCTTCTCCCTCGAAGGGTTCTTGATCCTCAATCATGGCATTAACACGCTCCTTTTGGGTCTCATCATTTATGTCAACCTTTGTCCACTCGTATAGCTCCATATCGTAGCACTCGTCCAAGACAAACTGTGGAATTTCTTGACCACGGAAAAGCCAAACGCCCTTAAGCTTGTATGGTGGTTCAGACCCAATAATCAGCACCTTGCCAAACGCATACTTGCGGGCAAGATCCATTCGTTGAAGGAACCCCGCAACCTTGTTAAGGGTGACATAGGAGACGGTATTTTCGTCGTTGTACTTATAATCACAGAACCAAAGAGAGTAGCCCTCGGGGTCATACATATCCCAGAAACCTGCATAAAACAAAACACAAGTAGCATAAAAGTTATTGCTCATAAAAAAGATTCTATAACTCAACTTGAGTAAGCCAACATGTCAGTCCACTCAACCCGTGCATAAAATACATGCATGCAAGATGTATATGAAGTCCATCCCCTACTGACAAAATAAAAGATCACTTCAATTATTTAAATGCACGAAGAGAACTAGAAAATTCATTCAGTCACACATCACCCAAACTGGAAAATCCCTGTCCATTCGCAATAACATATGGTGGAAATTAACTAACCCCACTTGGGAGAAAATCAGTCATCAGGAGCTACACTTAAATTTCCAGTGTCTATTGCTTGGGATGGATGGTGAATTAATGATGTGTGAAAATCATTATAGCGCAACACCATTTAGATATGATGCACTTTCTCATAAATGAGGAAACTAGTAGGTTATCTACTCAAATTTCTTTTAATAATTTTAAAATAAAGACAGTTAGATAATTGGGTTTTAGCAGGGCTGAAATTGGAGGCCAAGGTCACCCACTGACTCCCCAAGATGGGAGGTCTCTGGACCATCATCATAGTCCAGAGCCAACTCCAAGGCATTGTTCTAAACACATCAGGTTCTGCAGGATGTACCTTTAATAGCCACCTCGCGGAAGTTAGTCTTGGTGTTGGAGTATAGCCTCTTCCAATCATCCAGCACCATTTTGCTAGGAGGCAACAGATCAAGAGGATTCTTTGGCTTTGGCTTTGGTGCCTCTTCTTCCTCATCAGCAGGCTCCTGTACTTTAAGTTTGGGAGCCTCTTTCTTTGTCTCTTTTTTGGACTCCTCTTTGGCCTTTGGCTTTGTTTCTTTGGGCTGAGCAGGTTTCTTTCCAGATTGAACAGGAACCACAGTCTCTGCCTGCTTGACCTCACCTATTACTTTGCGAAAGTTGGGTTGGTTCACCATGGTCCAAAAGTATCTCTCAACATGAGGGAATTCAGATGTGAAACTCTTGATCATTATGCAACAGAACCCCATGCACAAGTTGCAAGTCATGACGATATCAGCAAGCGTAACAGAATGCCCAACCAAATATGTATTCAATGCAAGATGAGTATTTAAAGCACCCAAAGCCCTCTTAAGAGCAGCAATGGCAGCTTCCTCAACCTTCATATGACAAAATACAGAGTGGTGAGATGAATCAATAATTACAGCAATTATCCACAGAACCAGAATTTAAACTACAAAATAATCACAAGAAAGTTTTACTAACCAGGGGAAGGTAGACCATGAAACCCAATCTAGGGTAGAACCACCGACTAGTGTGAGTATCAATCTCAAGAGATGCAAAATCGATCCATTGCTCTATGAGGGCCTATACAACGTAATATGTCAAAAGATAACAAATAGCTTAACAGTATAACAGAGTATACAATGGTAGGAACAATCTCCTAGAGGGAAAATCCATTGATTGCCAACACAGTCAATGCATAGTAATACGCAAAACAGTAGTGACGAAAGCATTGTCTATATGCATCCATCAGAAAAGAAAAATAGCACCATTTATGGGTGCGTGTCAGCACAAAACGCATAAATGCATGCACACAAATACACATGACATATGATGCATAAGGGCAGAGATGCAGCTATGTATGCATGCTCACATATGTACAGAGTTAGTTGAGCATTAAACAGGGCATTTAAGACAAACTGTCGTGTGCCTTACATATTCAAACAGTGAAGAGCCATAGAGAATGTTATCTCCCTTCAAACGAGCAACTGCAGAAAGACAGTTATAACACACCATCAGGACACAAATTCTAACATGTTTCCATCTACAGAAAGCTATAATGCATTTACTCACCGTAACGTGCAATAGCATTGCTCTCGAATATGGGACCTTTAGGTGTTTCCAACACGGGAACCTGCACAATCATTGAGCATTTTCATCCACTACAAAGAGAAAACCTGCATTAGTGGAACGCAAAATAATTTGGGGATCACATGAATTCATACCTTGCCCATTGGGTTCATCTTAAGAAATTCAGGAGTCTTATTAGAAACCCCCATCTCAAAAGACTCGACGAGTTTGACTTCCACACCAGTGTACTCCGCTGCAATCAGCGGCTTGAAAGCATTTTTATTGTTGCTCCCTGCATGCAAGATCTACAAAAATACATAAGAGGAATTATCATAATGCTCCAGACAAATTTTCCAAGAAGACAAAGCAAGCCAACTAGATATACAATAAAAACACAGGTAAGGAAGGAGACACCCAAACTAAGGAAGGAGCCATGCAGAATGGCAGGCAGGGAACGATCTCAGCATCTCACTGATCTTTAACCCTTGAGTCGTTTCCTTTTTTGTAGTTTTTTTTTTAGTTTACAATCATGCTGTATAGCATTTTTTGAGCAACCTTTTTTGTTGTCGTGGGCTTTTTAGTGTGCTTTTGTATAGAGCACCCAGGTCGTATATGCCAATACTTTTTGTACTTTTAGACCACGTCTTAATACAATTGTTAAGTTATTAACAGTTTAAAAAAAGAGAGAAAAAACAACCCCTATTGAATAAATTTCAAAATGACTATAATTTAACACGAAAGAAAGTTTACCTAATGCATATCATGAACAATAAGGTCGCTAGCATATAGAAATGATCCACAGAAAAATGCACAAAATAATTACGGAAGTGTAAGAACCATTTAGCTCAGAAAAGAATTATACCCACATAAAACGGTTATGAACACTCAAAAACTGGGTCAGTTAACACATGAAACAAGTAATACCAAAGAAGGACCTAGATTGGCAGTGGATGTATGGGTGCAAAGAAATGTTAGCACAGGACTGAAAAATAGATATTAAAAGAACAACATACCCATCCAGCTACTGAATTGCTTGTCAATGACCAGATTCAACCAAGACATTATGATAGTCTGTCTCGATAATACTAAAACCTTAATTAGCAACCACTTCACTAGGCAATCAGCAACTTCAATATATACATACCACAATTATCATATGACAGATTCCTATCTCAATGTTGTGATTTTCAAGATAATAACAACATTTAGATACAGAGGGCAGCAGAATTATTCAAGGCCTAGACCATGGACCGATGACCCAGTAGTGAGTCAGTGACCACTTAAAAACTAAAAGCAAAAGAACTAAAAATTCAATTATGCATGCAACCATATAGGACACAGCAGTTTATTTATGTATCGGAACTATGGGAAGATACTTTCTTCCAAAAGAGTATACATTAAATTCAAAACCAGAACTGAAGAACAACTCAATACAGCAATGCAAGTACATCACAACTATGCTACTCTAAAATGGAAGTGCATACAAGTCTGTAGCACAAAGAAATCATATTGTGAGACTTCGACAAGGTATTTCCAGTTTCTCACTTCCCTAAAGCACATCTATCTACTATGCCTAAATTCTTTATTTGTCAAAACTTTAAAAAGAAAAAAATGATGCATGTCCAAATCCCAAACTGAAAAAAAAGTAGGTACGTAAAATGACAGTTATTTCACCACACTACCTCTCTATCTTTTCCTCTCCTTCTCACTGCTATCCTCTTTCTAGCTTCACCCGTGAATGGCACAGGCCACAAACTAGATATCCTTATAATTTAACAGAATGATATACATCCAAAACACCCATAATGAACATACCTTTACACACTTAATCCACAGCAAGGAAATGTCATTATACATATACAAAATGAACATACATGTACATAATCCACGGCAAGGACGTGCATTGCACTGCAAGAGCCTCTAATTTGAGAATTTTATGGTAACTTTACTTTTTTCTTTTTTTGTTACTCTTCTTTCTTTTTTTTTACTCACATACAACTTCTCATTTTATTTTTAATTGATTTATGCGATAATAAAAACAACCGTATTTTTCAACTACTCTTAAGAAAAGTCCTTCGTAGCATCTAATCTATGATAAAATTATTTAAACTTCAAATTATTAATATTCTCAGTTTTAAAAACAATGAATGTCAGTTTAGTACAATAGGACAGGAAAGAAATCCTACTTTATCCTATTTTGTCATAATTTTGGTCAAATTTATTTCTTTTATTTTTTTATTAATTTATGCCATATGATAAAAAATTCTTCATCTACTCTTTAAAAGGAATCTTATTTACAACATTTATTTATATCAAATTTTTTAGCCGATCCCAAATCATTGGTATAAAGGCTTGGATGATGATGATGAGATTTTTTACCGTATTCAATTATCTATATACTTTGCTTTAAAAAAATTAATTCCAATTTGAAATAAGAGAGAAAATTTTAGGAACAACATGGGACAGGATTCCTATTTTCCTAATCTTTGAAAGAGACAACCTATAAATTATACAGAGTTGGACATGGAGATAAATATACGAAAAGTTCTTAGAGTTAGAGATTGAGAGAGGAATGTGAGGAGGTAGATGATTTAGGAATTGTAGATCTATTCTTCTTTGAAGAGATTTAAGGGAAAAACATATGAGAAATAAGTCATAGACAGGAGTTCAAAATTTACATTTCAATTTATTATCTCTTAACATTACAGATTCCACAGACATATATTGTTTGAAAGATAAATCACATATATGGAGGGTAGCAAAGCCAACAGACAGGATTCCTGACATCAATAACCTCATTGATCATTTGACTCGTTCATGTTTTGAGAGATGGCAATGTAGAGAGTGAATATCTACCTATAGAGAAAGTGCTTAAATGGGCCCTTAATTTGGGGAGCAACATCTTGTCTCCTTGACATGTATCTCCTACATCCCATATTCACTGCACCGCTTATCTAATATGATATGTAATCTTTTCCTCATTTTTTTAATGAGGCTTTGGATTAAAGATTTTCAAAATTCTAATGAAAATAGAAATGCCTCAAACAGCAAGTTACACATTAATACTTCTATATAGATATCTTTTGATCAATAAAAAAACTAATGAAAATAACTCATCATGTAATGTAAGTATCTTGAATATATAATGAAAGGGGCATAAGACCAGATACTTCTACAAAGACCAGTAAAGCACTGAAACTGCTCAGTGATACAAGAAGTCCTCATGAAAGATTGTCCAAGGAAATTAGGGGCAAATCACTAGAGGGTAGTACCAAGGCAATCGAAATTTCACAATTAAACGCACACACACACTGCTTTTAACCAATCCATACAAAGGACCCTCAAACCTCGGTCACCTCGCTAACTCAAGCAAATTTTCACCCCCTAAGTACCATCTAAATTTAGGCCACCACATCACCTCCGCCCAATTCCCTCAAAAGCAATCGGATGCAGTAACAGTCTCTATCTACTACCCACTAGAGACTTATATTACACCAAAAGAAAAATACAAATATAAAATAAACAAACAAATAAAATTGTAACACGTATGATAACATCTATCATACCCCACAAATCAGCCAAAAAACTAACATTTCTTCCATATTCAACCTCTCTTTAATTTCTCTTTAGGAAGTCTTTTACCAGCTCCAACCAACTTATCACATGAAATTGACATATTAGACTTCACACCTTCCCCTCTCACCTGACAACCCCCTCTCATTATCTTGATACAATACCACTAACATTCAAATACATTTAATCAATATCTGCACTCAAAGCTCCTCAAACTTTCAAAACCACTGAGTCCACTTCCCAAAAAAATCATGGTGAAATTCATTAACTTCGTAAGGCCCCATCCGATGCTTACTGCTACAATGCCTACAATTGTCTCATTTTTTCTATTTCTTTTTTGTGACTTCCTGCAAATTGTCATAGAAAAGCTTCAATTTGCACAATTATGTGCAATATAACAGAACTACGTGTATGTACATACTCCATACAGCGCAGAAAACTAGCAATTGTGTTTCTGTCCTTTGCACTGACAAGAATTATGAATAGCTAGGATATTCACAAAGATTGTGATAATGGAAATCCTACCCTGATAAGGAATCAAAACATATCAAACAAGTCAAAGACTGTTTTACATAATTGAGTACAAAAGTTGCCAAATTAAAGAAATAACAGACTATGGCTTTTAGACAATGTCATGGTTCAAACCCTGGCATTTCTTTTATAATTAAGTCAAAAGGAAGCACCCCATTACAATCTTCCGATATGTCAAATTTCACACAATCGTGTACAAAAGTTACCAATTAAAGAAATAACAGACTATGGATTTTAACCATGTCATGGTTCAAACCCTGGCATTTCTTTTATAATTAAGTCAAAAGGAAGCACCCCATTACAATCTTCCGATATGTCAAATTTCACATCATCACTACAGGAGCATATGTGGGATAC